TATTATTATTATTATTATTATTATTATTATTATTATTATTATTATTACCACCCTATAGGCCATATCAACATAAAAGGTTCAAACACGTATTACCAGTAAATTTAAGAATTTCTACATTCTAGGAACCAACAAAATTGATGGGTTTCTGAGAGCCTGAACTTTTAGCTCTGCAGGCTGCCATTTCTGTACTTTTGCTATTAGAACAAGAATTGGAACCCACAGATAATACCTAGGTGTTCTTTTTCAACCTCATTGCTCTTTGTGAATAATTAGCGGGGCGTCTTTTTCTCTGAAACGGCTATTTAAGCTTTAGATTTTAGTGCTGATGAAGGGGCCATGCCAATTTGACGTCTTAATTTGGTAAATTATTTAGTGGTAATAACACTTAGGTGATTGATAGAATAAGAGGAAAATAATGCGGAGATGTCTCCCTTCGGACCTCGTAATTGATTCTGGGTCTGGAGTGGGCAATTCCCCTTATGTTTGGAAAAAAAAAGAGAATAATGCCTTATTATATCAGATCAGGGACCCATCCCATCCTCAGCAGACAGACTTCTGGGGGAGTTGCAAGGAAGGAGGAGGAGAGAACTGCCCCTGTGGAGGTCTCTCTAAGTAAGCACAAGGATGGACATTTCCGAGAGGTCCTTCGGGGGTTTGGTGAGCATATGTAGCATCCTCTCATAAAATGGCTGCTGCGGCAGACAATATTATTTCATTTATTTCAGAAGACCAGATTGGTTTCTTCTCTCTCTCTCTCTCTCTCTCTCTCTCTCTCTCTCTCTCTCTCTCTCTCTCTCTCTTTCCTCGGTGCCCTTTAGATGTTCCCTCTTCCACCCTTTGCAACTGAGCTCTGGCTTTTTTGTCCTCCCAGGCAGAAATACTTACAAAAAGCTGGAACCAAAACCCCTTCATCCTTTTTTAAAAAAAACAAACGAACAAACTTTATCGATTATACAACTAAAATGTCAAACAATCACACACACAACACACAGAAAGAAAAAGAAAAAAAACACAATGAAAAAAACTAGCAATTCGTCCTTTTTAAAAGTTCCTTAAGGACTCTGATGGGATTTGGTAAAGAATGATATTGCAGGTAGTCTTTCGCTGACGACGGCAGTTGAGCCCCAAATTTTCGTCGCTAAGCAAGACCATCATTAACTCACCGGCTTCAAGGTTGACTCGGCCTTCCATCCTTCGGTAAAACGAGGACCCAGCTGGTTTGGGCGCAAAAGGCTTAAACTGCTTAGAAAGGGCTGGGAAGCCCTGGGAAGCAGTTGTAGAAGTCTCCAGTGCTGTTGCTAACTGAGTCTTGCCTCATTTTTATGACTGTTTGGCCACCGTTGTTAAGTGAATCACTGCAGTTAAGGTGGTAACACGGTGGTTACACGAACCGGGGTTCTCCATTGATGGCTTGCTAGTTACGATAACGCTGAAAAGCAGTGTCTTACGACTTTATTTCCACACTTAATGGCCATCGCAGGATTCCCCATTGGCCATGTGATCAAAATTCAGGTCCCTTGGCAAAAATGGCTGATACTTATGACAGTTGCAGTGTCCTGGGGTCATGTGACGAGCTTTTGACACGCAAAACGAACAGGGAAGCCAACTTCACTTAACAACTGTGTTACTGACTTAAAACCTGCAGTGATTCGCTTAACGATGATGGCAAAGAAAGGTTGCATCTGGGGCAAAACAGTCTCGTTTCGCCACATACATTTTGAGCTCTACTCTGATCATAAAGTGAAGACTACCTCTCCTTTTTTTTTTTTTAAACAGTACAGGTAGTCCTCGACTTATGACTACAATTGAGCCCAACGTTTCTGTTGTTAAATGAGACATTTGTTCAAATGAGTTTTGCCCCATTGTACGGCCTTCCTTTGCCACCATCGTTACGCGAATCACTGCTGTTGATAGGTTAGCAACACGGTTGTTAAGTGAAACCGGCTTGGCTGTTGACTTTGCTTATCAGAAGGTCGCAAAAGGGGATCATTGCAGCCATCGTAGATATGAGTCAGTTGCCAAGCTTTGGAATTTTGTTCATGTGACCTGAAACGGTCATAAGTGTGAAAAACGGCCACAAGTCACATTTTCGGTGTCGCAGTAACTTTGGTCACTAAACGAACTGTTGTAAGTCGAGGACTACCTGTACAGCTGTTCTTTTTTAATTTTTAATTCTCTATAGTCTCATAATGTAGGGAACCCAGGATAATGCAAATAAAACCAGTGTTTTTTTCCCCCAGAGATATTCCCGTCTTTTGAGTGCTCTGAATTCTGTTTTAAAGGCTTCTTAAACAAAACCAGGGGGGAGAAACAGCTGAGAGCCGAAACAAGTTTTTTCACATTTCAACTCTGAAGCATCTTGCTTGCTCCTTCTTCTCCTGGTGCTTCTGGACCTCCGGCGTTAATGAGGAAGAATGCAGTAATGATTAATGAAGAAAAATACTGCAGTTGTTGGCTGCATATTATCTCTTAGACTTTCCACAGTAATTGGTTTTTGCCTGCTTTGGGTTTCATTGCACCGGCTAAGGGAGTACATTAAGCATTTTTTGTTGTGTGCGTTGTATCTGAGATCCATTTTGCTCTGGTGGATTGGTACAAGATGTTGGATAGCAACTAGCGGCGGGCTAGGCTGAAAGACGCTTCCATCACTTTGTGCCGATTGGGCTAGGGCAGTTTTGTAGTGCGTTCCCCGGTGATAGATCTGATTTGGCTATTACTAGGATGCTTAGCCCAACTACCGGATGAAGCCTAGAGCTGCCCCAGAACCATGGGATTTGTAG